TGTCCCATATTTCCTGGATATTTTGTGTTAAGGATTTGTTGAATTTAAGATTTTGATCGATGAATCTATTTCTCCTAGTTTATTTTCAGAGCCTGAGATTCTCTTTTCCATCTCTTGTATTCTGTTGGTTATGCTTGCATCTGTAGTTCCTGATCTACAGATGTAGACCCGCTTTTCTATTTCCAGCAATCCCTCAGTTTGTGTTTTCTTTATTGTCTCTATTTCAGTTTTCAGATCTTGCACTGTTTGAATTGTTTCCTTCATCTGTTTGATAGTTTTTTCTTGACTTTCCTTACCTTAAGAGATTTGTTGATTTCTTGCATTTTTTGTTTTGCTTTTTCTTTCATGTGTTTAAGGGATTTTCTCACATCCTCTTTGAGGCCGTCTATCATTTTCATGAAGTTGTTTTTAAGGTCATTCTCATCTACTTCATCTGCGTTGGGATGTTCAGTTCTTGCTGGTGTAGAATCCCTAGATTCTGGTGGTGTCATATAAGTCTTTCTGTTGTTGGATGTGTTCTTATACTGTCATCTCATTTCTTCTTCCAGTGGGTACAGTTGGGGTCTGTCCCTCTCCCCCCCTCTACTGGAGGGTGGCTGGTGGCAGCAGGTCAGGGGACTCAAAGAGGGAAAGGTGGCCTGGCACTCACCTTTCTACCGGAGCGTGGAGGGGCAAGAAAGGAATGATAGCCGGCTGATGCTGGCTGCTTTGTACTGCCTCCAGGTCCCTCTGGGGGATTTGGTGGCAGGAAATGTCTGGTGGCCACAGGTCAGGTGACTGGAAGAGGGAATAGTGGACTGGGAGAGCCCCTAGTACTTACCTCTCTACCAGAGGATGGAGGGGCAAGACAGGATTGGCGGCCAAGGATGCTGGTCTTTGTAGTGCTTCCAGGTCCCTCTGGGGGATTTGGTGGCAGGAAGGGTCTGGTGGCCGCAGGTCAGGGGACTCAAAGAGGGAAAGGTGGCCTGGGAGAGCCCCTGGCACTCACCTCTCTCCCAGAGGATGGAGGGGCAAGACAGGAATCCCCTTTTTATTCTTTAAACACAGGATATTCAGAGTGGTTTTGATTAGAGATGTAGGTAAATTTAATTGTCTTTTGATGCATGAGTATCATATAAGCAACCATCTTATAGCCATAATGAATATTAAAATAGTGAAAGCATGGCAATACTCTGCCATTAAGAATAGGGATCCAAACTATTTCGATTACTACTGGTTCCATTATCATATTGATCAAGAAAAATCTAGAGAATAAATTGAAGAGACCCATATGATTAGCAGTTCTGGTATCTCATAGAACATAAGCTCATACTGTCCTAAGGTCTAGTCATAAGCACGAAGACATTAGTAAAGATAACAGGAGCTGGATCCACTCAACCTACAAGCTGAAGTAGAGGAGGATAAGGAATGTAAGAGCAATACACATGGTCAGAGGCACTTAGTATAGATGTGCATATCACCAGAAAAAAGATTTTCAGATGGCATAGGGCTCCACATCTTTCATAGATTAACTATTTCCTTCATGTATAGAGCCTAAATTTGGCCCCTGGTGGATAGACATGAATACACGAATATCTGCTTTTACCATTTAGCTGGAGATTTGCTGTCTTTCTGATGACTTCCTCTATCTCTACCATTGTCCTTGATGGCCAGCAGCCAGAAGAGCTGGAGGGATCTGTAATAATTCAGAGCATAAATTGGTTATGACAGGTGCATCCCCTTACCAGTTTTCTTCAGCCAACTGGTGTTCCAAGTCTCAAATTGTTTAAACCACATAGGTCAATTTAAAAGGCAGTTCAGAATGCTCTGCAGAGAAATGATTTCTAGCTCTCAAAAATACATCACTTGGAGAATTTTAAAAATAGAGTAAATAAGTACAAGAATACCCTTTGATTCTCCCCTTATTTTGTTACTTTTTTAATGTTCAGTTTTTAAATATTTATTCTTTTAAATTTCATTATACATTTCAACCACAGTTCTCCTTCCCATTCTCCATCTCATGCCCCCAGCCCACTCATCTTCATGGGTAAAGGCCCCCATGAGAAGTCAAAAAAGTCTGACACAATAGGTTGGGGCAGAGTCAAGCACCGTTCTCATGCATTAAAGCTGAGCATGGCATCCTGTCATAGTGAATGGGCTCCAACAAGCTAGCTCACATACCAGGTTTATATTGTAGTCCTCTTGCCAATGGTCCCTCTGATAGTCCAAGCTTCACAACTGTTTCCCACCTAGAGAGGGCCTAGTTCATTAGGGACTGAACTAGTCTCTTGGAGTCTTTACTATTGTTGGTCTAGAGTTCATGAGTTTCCACATCTCTAGATTTGTTCACATGTCTCTAGATTTCTCCATCATTATCTTGGCTTCCCTTCAACTGGATTCTGGGAGCTTGGCCTGGGGCTTGATTGTGGATCTCTGCCTCCTGTTTCACCAGTTACTGGATGAAGGCTCTATGATAGTTGGGGTGTTCAACAATCTGATTACAGGGGTAGGCTAGTTCGGGATCCTCTCCACTTTTGCTAGGAATCTTAGCTGGAGTCATCCTAATGGATTCTTGGGAATTGCCCTAGCACCAGGTTTCTCCCTGACCCCACAGTGGCTCTATTATCTTTCATTGCTCTTCTACTGCATCTCTCACCCCCTCAACCATCCTGTTCCCTCATATTCTCATCCCCCTCCCCTACCACTCCCCATTCCCAGTATCCCCAGGAGATCTCATCTAACCCTCCCCCCCTTTGAGACAGGGTTTCTCTGTGTAACTCTGGATCATCTGGAACTTACTCCATAGACCAGGTTGGCTGTGAAGGCTCAGAAATTCACCTGCTCTGCCTCCTGAGTGCTGGGACTTAAAGGCATGAACCACTACCACCCAGCCCACCCTTTTATTTTTTTTAAATAATTGTTGTTTTAGTGTTCTATGTACTCTTTCATTTATATCCTGGTCTTGAGGATTATAAAGAATGACTATAATATTACCATACCATCCCTTACAGAAGTTTTCCAATTTCTGTGTATAGGCTGGTCCACTGTTAGATTTTATAGAAGTAGGCATTCCCACAACAGTAAAAGTTTGTATAAGAGAAGAGCAAAATGCAGAAGCATTCTCTGAAGATTGAGGAACTGCTCAAAGAATTTTGGATAATGTATCACTGTATACAGGTATGGCAATTTGAGGCACAAGAACAAAGTGGATAACATTCATTTGCCATAATTCGTTAATATTTTTAACTCTGGGGATAACTTCAGCTATATGACCATGACAGTGTAAGAGAGCACATAATGGACATTTTTGTAAAATTTGCCTCACTTGCTTAAGCTGGATGGGGCACTGTACACGAAATCAATTAGTATTAGTGATAAGGTGTTGATGTTCCTGTTCTGGAGAAGTAAAGATCAGGCAGGTTCATGCATGGCTTGCTTATTTCTTTCTGCAATAAAAACAGGGAGGTTAGAGTGTGCATCAGTATGAGTAATAAACAACGGATGTGAAGATTTTTAACCTGATACAGTTCTTGAAGTGATGTGAACATAACAGGATGTGAAGACAAAACAGAAGCAGTTTCTATTGCTGGAAACAACCCAACCACATAAGCAGAATCTGAAACAGTAATTGGGGATTAATGAATTACCTGTCACAGATGACTCAAAACACCAGTTCTACTTGTTCAGCTCCGGAAAAAGACGTATTAATAAATTGATGAGTATCCCTCCTATACCATTAGATGAGACATCAATAAAGTATCTGCTTTTGGAATGGGAGAAGGTTGGACAATTTTTGTCATTACAAATTCAGTTTCTAAGAGAAAACCCAATTGCTGGCCAGCTGGATGGTTTCCTACCTGTCCATGGTAATCGACAAATAGATTCTAAGAGTCCATAGAATTGTATCACACTCTGACTGTTAGGGTTTATATAATACAGCAAGAAGAGCAATGAAAGCACTTAGTATTTGGGAACCATTATGTTGTAAATATTTCCATTCCACAGGTTTACCCTATGGTGCTATAATACCTATAGGAGACAAGTTAATGGGGGAAATAAGTTTAAAGATTGAAGTTTCCTCATAATAAACAGATGCCTTTTCTAGTTTGGATTCATATAGCTTTAGTTGTTTTCTCACAAGACAATATGTAAGGACTGTGCAATGAAGCCTTCTAGAGTTCCAAATAGTGTGCTTAGTGTATAATTACATTCCTAAAATAGGATGTATCCAATAACTACCCCCTAATAATTTCTGAAAGTTAGCTGTTTTTAAATTGTCTTGTATATGGATTTTTTTTTGTGATTTAAAAGTTGTTCTAGTAACCAGTTGTCCCAAACATTGCACAATATCTGATCTTAGTACTTTTTTTTACCATAATATTGAGCCCATTTTTACTTAGCATGTCCTGAGTCATATAATATATGGATTGTAGGTCTTCTTCTTTGGATGTGACTAGACAGGCTATCATCCACATTGAATGATATAAGCCTGAAAGAAGGCTTTTCAACTAGGTCATGCTCCTTTTTTTTTTTTTTTTCTTTTTGGTTTTTCGAGACAGGGTTTCTCTGTGGCTTTGGAGGCTGTCCTGGAAACTAGCTCTTGTAGACCAGGTGGGTCTCAAACTCAGAGATCCACCTGCCTCTGCCTCCCAAGTGCTGGGATTAGAGGCGTGGGCCACCACCGCCTGGCTCATGCTCCTTTTAAATATTATTTTGGACTCTGTCCCATACTTCATCTAAAGTTCCTTCTACTGGAAAACAAGGGTTATAATGATAAGAAACTTGCAAGCAGTTGAATGGCTGTAGTTTTAATGCTTGTGCTTCCCTTTTCTTTAAACAATGATGCACAAGCTTGACAAAGTCAAAGCCTTCTCTGGTCTCTGCACCATTATTGTCACTTACCTCCTTGTGTGAGGGTCCCCACTATCTTTTTGTAGCCAGCTTCTGGTCCCTCTCAGGCTGTATTCATCATTGTTCTAGAGGGGAGCTGGAAGAATAGAGCTGACAAATGAAGCAGACTAAAGTTTCACACAACAGACAACTTTATTCAGGGCCCAACACACTTTATACTCTGAGGGTTAAGATGTTCTTATGAATAAGGTTCTCATGACATCAAGCTGTATACAATGGCAAGGATAAGCCAGATATGGAAAACATATTTTTCCATATAGACACAGGAAGGATAGTTTAAACATTTAATTGAGTAGCAACAAACTGCAAGCAATAATGAGTAATCTGAAGTAAACTCACTCTTATCTGCTATACCTGGAAGGAGCACAAAAAAGAAAAAATCCAAAAACAATTCTGTGTTTTGAAGAAACTGAGTTCACAAGACTCCTGTGTTTTATTTTTGGGAGTGTTCTCCCATGCATTCAGAAATCCCCTCATACAGCTCTACTCTAGGACCATGTTCTGTTCTGACCATATACCTAAGTTATTTTTATTTCAATTTGTAAAAAAATACATAGAACACTTTTTATAAGTCTCTCCCATATTTATTTAAACAATTAAATATATATTACATACATATATTATATATATGACTCCATATTTTAAAAGGACTTTTTCCAAGTTTTTATTCTTAGAATGAGAAAATCATAGTATATAAAATATATGATGTATGTTTTTTCACCATTTGCATATCTGGTGCCTAAGGACGCCAGAAGAGTGCATCAGATCTCTTGGATCTGGAATACAGGTAGTTCTGAACCATCTGATGTGGGTGCTAGGAACCAAACTTGGGTACCCTATAGCAGAAGTACTGAGACAACTCTCTATTATTCAAATACATCATTATAATTCAGAAGATGAAGATGCCCCATGATTCCTATCTTCTCTCACTTGGGAGGTGATGAAAATCCCGGCTACATGGTCCTCAAATGACTCAATGATTTCTTTCCCTCTGTGAGTGAACTCTGTACACTGCTTCTTACTGTCATTAATACACTTCTTTTGATGTGAGTGAAAAAAATGAAGGGTTGGGTAGAGATGAGTCCAGTTGAAGTTAGGAAAAATTCCATAATGTCATATATGCTACAGTTACTTAATTTTTTCTTTGAGAAAGAATCTCTCTATATGGCCATAAGTATCCTGGACATCACTATGTGGACTATGATAGCCTCAAACTAAGCAAGATCCATTTGCATGTCTCCAAAATGCACCACTATGCCCAGCTGGGATATGTTTATAAAATGACCTATCATTGGGTCAGAGACAAATAATGTAAGATTTAAACAGTAAATCTTATTTTGTTAAAGTGACATGACAGAATGCCATAATGTATTGTTTTCAATTGGCAAATCATTTCCTATGTTCTCAATGATTTGGTTATTTTCTTTAATTTCATCTCCTCAGGAATTTTTTTTACTAGTATGTAAACACCTGTGCCATGTTGTGCATGTGCCAGGCAGAGGACAACTTACACATGTGTATTCTCTACTTCCTTTATGTCAGTACTAGAGATCAAATTGAGGTAGTCAAGTTTGGAAGCAAGTGCCTTAAATAGGTAGGTGCTTGACCTCACCGATCCTTATGTCAGTTTCAAAAATATTCATGTGTGTAGGCGGGTGGTGTGCATATGCCACAGCCCAAGTAGTAATCAGAGAAAAATTGGTAAGAGTAATGTGTGTATCCCAGAGAGTGAACTCAGGTCATCAGGCTGAGCAGCAACTTTACCCACTGAGACAATTCTCTGTCATTTGTGTTCTAAGAAAGTGTTAGGAACAAACATTTAGTCCTTAGAATAAACAAATAATATTAAAAAAATAGATAGTAGAATAAATACCATTGTCATTTACAAATAGGTTCTATTACTCAAATTATTCTGTGTGCCTCTATCTTTGGTAGCAATTTGCTTATAGTTTCAAAAGAGGACAATATTTGAATGATGGAATGGTTCTACTAATTCTATTTGAGCACCAGTGAGACCATGCCAAGCTTTACTGAATTTTCTAGATTCATGGTGTTTGTCTCCAGGAGTAATTCTTTATGCCTTTGAAGAAGACTGTAATTTAAAGAGGCATCATCATATTGACATTTGAAGGGTTTCTCTTCACTACTCTTTGATGTTTGAAGATTATCCTGATCTGCAAAGTTTTAGTGCGTCAATTACATTCATAGGGTTTTTCTCCAATATGACTTTTTTCATGTATTTGAAGGAAGGTTTCTGTGACTTGCAAAGGCTTTACCACGTTGATTACAATCATATGGTTTGTTTCCACTATGACTTCTTTCATGCCTTTGAAGATAAACAGTATGTGCAAAGGCTTTACCACATCGATTACATTCATAGGGTTTTACTCCTGTATGAATAGTTTCATGTATTTTAAGATTACTGCTACTTACAAAGGCTTTACCACACTGATCACACACATAGGGTTTTTCTCCAGTATGACTCCTTTCATGTGTTTGAAGATTACGGCGACTGGCAAAGCCTTTACCACATTGAGTACATACATAGGGCTTGTCCCCAGTATGAGTTCTTTCATGTGCTTGAAGATTACTGCGACTTGCAAATGTTTTACCACATTGACTGCATTCATAGGGTTTCTCTCCAGTATGGCTTCTGAAATGTTTTTGAAGACGATTGAATTGTGTAAAGCCTTTACTACATTTAGTACATTTAAATGGTTTATCTCTAGTATGACTTCTTTCATGCCTTTGAAGATAAACGGTATGTGCAAATACTTTACCACATTGATTACACCCATAGGGTTTCACTCCTGAATGAGTACTTTCATGTATTTTAAGATTACTACGACAGGCAAAAGCTTTACCACATTGATTACATACATAGGGCTTATCTCCAGTATGAATTCTTTCATGATTTCGAAGACTAGTGAAATGTGCAAAAGCTTTACCACATTGATTACATATATAGGGCTTTTCTCCAGTATGAATTCTTTTATGTGTTTGAAGATTACGGTGACTTACAAAGGCTTTACCACATTGAGTACATACATAGGGCTTGTCTCCAGTATGAATTTTTTCATGTGTTCGAAGATTACTGTGACTTGCAAAGACTTTGCAACATTGATTACATTCATAAAGTTTCTCTCCAGTATGGTTTTCGAAATGTTTTTGAAGATGACTAGACTGTGTAAAGCCTTTACCACATTGATTGCATTTATATGGTTTGTATCTAGTATGACTTCTTTTATGTCTTTGTAGATAAATGATATGTGCAAAGACTTTACCACATTGATTACATTCATAAGGTTTCACTTTTGTATGAGCACTTTCATGTATTTTAAGATTACTACGACATGTAAAGGCTTTACCACATTGACTACATACATAGGGCTTGTCTCCAGTATGAATTTTTTCATGATTTCGAAGACTAGTGAAATGTGCAAAAGCTTTACCACATTGATTACATCCATATGGTTTCACTCCTGTATGAGTCCTTTCATGTATTTGAAGATTACGGTGACTTACAAAGGCTTTACCACATTGAGTACATTTACAGGGCTTATCTCCAGTATGAATTCTTTCATGTGTTTGAAGATTACTGCGACTTATAAAGGCTTTACCACATTGATTACATTCATAGGGTTTCTCTCCAGTATGGCTTTTGAAATGTTTTTGAAGACGATTGAATTGTGTAAAGCCTTTACTACACTGATTACATTCATATGGTTTGTATTCAGTATGACTTTTTTCATGCCTTTGAAGATAAATGATATGTGCAAAGGCTTTACCACATTGAGTGCATTCATAGGGTTTCACTCCTGTATGAGTACTTTCATGTATTTGAAGATTACTTCGACAGGCAAAAGCTTTACCACATTGATAACATACATAGGGTTTCTCCCCAGTATGAGTCTTTTCATGATTTCGAAGACTAGTTAAATGTACAAAGGCTTTACCACATTGATTGCATATATAGGGTTTCTCTCCAGTATGGATTCTTTCATGTATTTTAAGATTATGGCTACTTGCAAAGGCTTTACCACATTGATTACATTTACATGGTTGCTTATTAGTATGAGTTCTATGTACTTGAAAGCAATTGTGATGTGCAAAGTCTTTTCCAGATTGATTATATTTATACGGTTTTATTTCCAAATGAGTTCTTTGATGCAATTGTAAAGAGGAATCAAGTGTAAAGTCTTCATCATGTTGATTACATTCAAAGAGATCCTCTTTGTTATGGGTTCCTTTGTATATTTGAAGATTCCTGTGATGGTTAAAGCCTTTAGTAGATGGTTCACATTTATCACTTACATTTCCCATATGAGTTTTATCACATCTTTGAACAGAACTCGAAGAACTCAGTGTTTCACCATACTGATTGTATGAATAACATTTTTCTATACTGTGAGTCACACTCCACGTGCAAAGTAAACCAATACAGGCAGAAGAATTCTCATATTCCTTGTACTCACAAGGCTTTTGTACAGTGTGAGTTTGTTGGTGTATTCCCAGTGTAGTTGGAAAACCAATTAACTCTAAGTTTGTATCACATTCACGAAGTCTACTCATAGTGGGGACTACTATATGTCTTCTAACAGTTGTAGGAGAGACAGAGATACATTGCTCCTTTCCATATTCCTCATGTTCACATGGTTTGTATCCAGAGGGACAGATGACATACCTATTAAGGGAACAATAACAAACAAAAGATTTCACACTGCATTCACAGTTTAACTTTTGTTCTCCATGAAGATGTGGTATAGGGACTAAGGGATTCCCACCACAGCACCCTTCTTGATCTTCATAAAGTGACCCTCCCACTAAACTTTGGAAACTCTTTATAAGTACACGAGAAACACTAGATTTACTATGAACTACTTGCTTATAAAAGGTCTTGGACACAAAGGATACGATAGACTCTGATGACACCCTATGGAAGGCCTCACCATCCAGGGGGAACAGAAAGGATATGTGATAGGTAGGGTTTTAGTGGAGAGGGTGGTGGTAAGGGAGGATGGGAGGGAGAAGGGAACTGGGATTGTCTTATAGAACAATCTTGTTTCTAATTCAAATAAAAAAAGTCTGCAAAAAAAAAAAAGGGTCTTGGACAATCACTGATACCCCCAATCAATGTATATGCCTATATGGTACTTAAGTAAAAGGGATGGACAGTTCTACAAAATGGATCTCATGGGGCTATGATTAAAATAGGTGTGTGTGTGTGTGTGTGTGTGTGTTTTCCAAGACAGGGTTTCTCTGTGGCTTTGGAGGCTGTCCTGGAACAGAGATCTGCCTGCCTCTGCCTCCCGAATGCTGGGATGAAAGGCGTGTGCCACCACTGCCTGGCAAAATAGTCATGTGTTAACACATTGTTTCATTGTCTTCATTTTTAGACAAATACCTTGGAAACATGGATCACCTACCTGACATTGAAATACATTTAGAGCATTAATTAATTCTAGAAAAAGGCTTCATCTAGCTTCCTGTACATGTTTCTGGGTTTGAGTCTCTGTCAGGTAACTAGGAATTAAGTTTTTGTACTTTGAGATCTGCTGCATACATTTAAAATGCTAGTTTTCTACAGTGAACCATGACCATGCCTAACAGTGAGCTTTGAAGTCTCCAAAAGGAGGGAGGATGGGGCCCCACAATGTCAATTCCACCAGGACTGTGATAACACCACTAATCTAAAAATCACCACCTAAAGATCAGCTTAGGACTACAAACTGCTCAGAACAATTTTGAGGTGGCTAGCTGAGATGATCCAGCCTCGTAGACTACTCTAGCCAGGACTTGAGACAAGCTCTGCACTTTCCCATTATGCAGAGACTGGACAACAAATGATACAGTTATCCTTCCCAGGACTTGACAATCTATCCAATTTCTTTCTTTTCAGGATCCCCTACTGATGCCCTTGCCCCTAGACAGCAGTAAGTAAATTTAAGAATATGACACCCACATTCCCAAGAGGTAGGGTGAGTGGTTTTTGATCATTTAGTGGCTTATGGATTTTTGTGATTGTATAGGAGGGTTGGTTACTATTTGTCATTGCTAATGGTCAGGAAAAAAGATGAACAAAGGAGATTAGATTCAGAGTTCTTGTTTTGAAAAAAAAAAAGGAGATACAGATATGATAGGATAATAAGAGTAGATTGTTGAATCTACTCTGAAAAGAAAAAAAGTGGACATAGAAATAGGATAAAAAGGTAGATTACTGAATCTACTTTTAAATCAAAAGAGCATATATATATATATATATATATATATATATATAGTTTTAAATATTTTACATTGGCTTGGGTTTTTGTATATTGATACAAAATTGGGGTTATTTTGTTAGAACATACTGTACATACATTTCTAATCTTGTTCAAGGTATTGAACATATACAGGCCATTTAACAATGTAATGCAAATTTTTAGCCCTTGAAAGTTATTACTACCAACTATTTAGGATAAAAAGTAATGCAGGTTAGTAATTAGTCATCTATTACAATTGAACTTGTAGTCACATTAGACATGTTTTCAAGGTCAAACAGATATATTTTAGAAAGACAAGTCATCTTCAAACACTCCAGAGATCTACAGAATACGGCATTTAATATGTTTTAATAACATAGGTTCTTTTCTTTTTTATAATGAGACATGTCTGCTCCTGGCAACACCAATCTACTCCATAGAAGATGATGGGCATCAAAGAAACTCCACTTTACTTTCTTTGTGGCAAACATTATCCACTGGGCAAGAAGGTGCTCTTGCCTTGACTGCTAACAGTATGCTGTCCTAACTGGATAAGCAGGACATACACACACACAAAGGACTGCCAAACTTTGCCAAGGCAAGGTAGGACAGCCTTTCAGAATATCCTGCTTCACAGAAAGTCTGTCATATATGCTAGGCCTTTAGGCCAAAGATGGATGCCCCAACATTGCAGAGGAACCTTGGGTGACTGTCTAGACAGCCAGATGTTTCTACATTTTTTGGAAATTTTGCTGCACTTCCTGCTTACTCAAGTAATATTATTTTCTTTTTGGGTCTCTGATGGAATTGAAGACTAGACAGTTATAGTTTTCCTTGTTAGCAGATTAGAAAAGGAATTCACTAAAGAGGTGTAAAGTGTTTAAGGTTGAGAGACTTAAAAAGATAGTTTTGGTAATGTAAGTTACAATAGAAAGTGAATTAGGTACAACCTTTTGAAATCACCAAGATAGGAAAGATATGGAGTATTTTCTCTGAATTTGTCAATTGTTAATGGACTAGACATTGTTGATGTATTTATTGCTTGTATATATTGTACATTGCCAGGAGTCATAGCAAAGGTAACTTAGACCTGTAAGAGACTTGGGCTGCTTCAGAGAAGACTGCCAGCATTTTTGGAGTAACCCATTATGTTAAAAAGAATGGCTACCTTCAGTCCCAATCAATCCTTCCCTTCCCAACTTCCCGATAAATAGCACCTGGGCTTACAGAAGTAGCTAATAGTAAAGAAACATTCCACAGTCAGGTTACTTAGCAACCCTTCCTCCCACGCACTCTCCAACCTAGCTAGCCTCCTGTCTTATCTGCACCTGCACTCTCTGACCTTGCTAGCATCCTGCACTCTCCAATTGCCTTCAAGGACTCATGTACAGGGACATTCTGCAGTTTGGTTATCAGGCAGACAGCCTCTCCCCGAAGAGTTCCTGCCCCACCAAGCATCCCACTTCAACCACTATATAAGGTCTCTGAGAATAAAAATTTGCAGCTTGATCAGAAAGCCTGTCTTGCTGTCTATGTCTTGTGTCTCTTTGACCAGGTTCTCTGGTGCTGCAGCACATCAGAGTACGTGCTCGAGTGGTGCCCTCCTGGCTGGGGCAGTATATAGTTATTATACTTATTGTATATAGTTTTTCTTATATTAGTTTTAACCTTTTTAAATTTTTAAACAAAAAAGGGGGAATGTGGTGACATCTTGTTTATACTCTAACAAATAAAACTTTCCTGAAGATCAGAGGGTGGAGCTAGCCACTAGTTAATCATAGAGGTCTGGATGTCTGTACAGACAGACAGGAAGTGAAATGTCTAGGTGGAGAGAGGAATATAAGGTGGGAGGAGACAGGAACTTGGCCCTTTCAGCTGAGAAGTTAGGAAGGTAAGAGTTGGCTGTGGCTTGCTCTTTTCTTTCTCTGATCTTTTAACATTTGCCCCAATATCTGGCTGTGGGTTTTTATTATTGAGACAAATTAGAACTCATGTTACATACATTGGTTTGTGAGAATTTAATAATTATCATAAAGCTGTGCTTATTTACAGTGTTGCCTCTCCTTTAAAGCTTCAGGGCACATTGCTATTTCTTCAGAGATACTTATGTATCAGCTTGCATATGAAAATTACCTTTCGTGTCTTCTAGAATTTTGACAATGTTCTTCAATATTCTGATCTTCCCATTTGTAGCCTAAAATACAGTACCAGAAAATGTATATTTTACTAGAAATTAGGCAAAATTTAAGTCAGTACTTTGTTGAACGTGGGAACCATCCTAGATTTTTTCATTGCATTCTTCCTTTTTCATAGTTGAAATCCCACGAGAGCATCAATGATCAAGAAATGCTTGTCCCAGCTCATGGGACCTCACTAACTTTAGACCAACAGTTATGGAGCCTGCATGTGACCAAATGAGATTCTCTGCATGTGGGTGACAGTCGTTTAGCTTGGTCTGTTTGAGGAGCCCCTGATAGTGGGACCAGGATCTATCTCTGGTGCATGAGCTGGCTTTTTAGAGCCTATTCCCTATGGAGGGATGACTTTCTCAACCTTGATGCAGGGGAGAAGGGCTTGGTCCTGTCTCAACTTAGTGTGCCAGGCTTTGTTGACTCCCCATGGGAGGCCTTACCCTTTCAGAGGAGTGGATTTGTGGTGGGTTTGGGAGGAGCTGGGGTGGGGGGAACAGGAGGACAGGTAGGAGGGGGAAAATGTGGTTGTATGCATAATGAATAAAAAAATTAAAAAATGAAATGCTTGTCTCCATATTATAAAAAGTGACAAAAACTAGCATTCCTACCTATAGCAGTGAGGTTCCTGCAGTTTTCCAGCATCACATCCCTGTAGAGACTCTTCTGGGAAGGATCCAGCAAAGCCCACTCTTCATGAGTGAAGTTCACACGCACATCCTCATAGGTCACTGCATCCTAAATATCCCATATTGTACATAATAGAAATGGTGAGACCAACTGCGTTGCAAAAGTGTACTTCATTGAGAATATATTTACATGATTCTGTGTGCTCCATACACTTATTTCATGTCACAGAATTTCAAATGCAGTTACCAAGTGATTTTTAGAAGGAAAAAGAAAAGGAGGATGGTGCCTACTGAACGGTTCAGGCATTATGCTGGCCCGCCCCTGTTACCTGGCAGAATCCACTCGGGCAATACCCTGGTCAGCCCAGGATTCCATGGGAACTAAGTCTGCACACAGGTGTAAAGGACCCTTTAAAAGACAGACGACACCCACTTAGGCTCTCTTACGCTCCTCTCTTACTGTCTTGCCAGCAGCAGTATCTCTCTGTCTTCTCTCTTACTCTCTGCCTTGCTCTGTTCTTTCATTTCTCTCCCTCTTGCTTTCGTGCCCTATAATAAGCTATGGTTAATGTATCTCTTGTTCTCATATCTCATCTTGTGCATTTATTTCTAATTTAAGCAAAAGAATAACACCTACCATTTCTGTGCCCACTGAAAGGGATATGGGATTGCAAGAAAAATGACTAACAAGTATACAGAGAGACATGCAAACAGAGCAACATTATCAAGTATACATCAGCAGAACTGTGTTGAAATTCCCAATTAAAAAAAAAAAAGAATGAACAAGATGGGCGTGGTGGTACACACATTTAATCCCAAAATTCAGAGGCAGAAACAGGTCAATCTCTGTGATTTTGAGGCCACCTTGATCTATGTAGAAATTTCTAGGACAGAGATACATAGTGAGACCCTGTCTCAAACAAACAAACAAACAAACAAATGACAGAAACCACTCAGGGGCTCAATAAAAATTACTCCAAAGACTTAAACATTCAGTTCAGTTCTGTATTTGTCTTTCAGAAAAACTGCAGCTGCCCAATTTAAACTGTAAGACTACTATGAGATTCCTATGAATGAATAAAATTTTAATAAGTTACTGGCTGATATATCAAAAAGTTCTCAAATACATTAGTAAGAATAATGTTGAATACAAAAATTAAAGTGTTGGTGCTGGTGTCTCACACCTTTAATACCAGCCCTCGGGAGGCAGAAGCAAGCGGATCTCTGTGAGTTTGAGGCCAACCTGGTCTACGGCTCCTGTTCCAGGGCAGCCTCCAAAGCCACAGAGAAACCCTGTCTTGACAGACCAAAAAAAAAAAAAAAATAGAGTGTAAAGATAGGTCACCAGTTAAGATTGTTTGACCTAAAAAGGCTTGGATGTGAGGCTCAGTGTAAGATCCTGAGCCTGGCTAGAGTTTGACGACCTGTTTTTGGCCTGTAACCTCCACATCGGGGTGACTCAGCAAGGCCTGATGTAAGACTGCCCCCTGCCTAGCTACCTGCCAGCTTGGTGGAATACTATTGGCCCTTACTCCTCACCTTACCCCATCCTAAGATTCCCATCCCAGACCTCAACCCCATACAAATTCCTGCCTGTTACAATACAACGAGATCTTGCTTTGACAAGTCTCCTGACTCAGTGTGTTTCTTTCTGAGGTAACTAGGAGGGGGCCTGGGTCATTGACACTCTCCATCCTGTTCAGCCCCAGGAAGAGACTGGCTGGACTAGCCCTTCCCAAGCCCTACCTGCCGGAGGACCCAGCAAAGATAATGTGTTGCTTTTGCAGACAACCTCAATCAATCCCCAGTACTCACTAAGAGGCTCACAACCATTTGTAACTTCATATTAAGTGAAGAAAATATGCTCTTCTGACTTCAGTCAACACCAGGCTCACATGTAGTTCATATTCATATATATAGGCAAAAGACTCAAGCACATTAAAAAAAAAAAACCTTCAAAAAACTTGCAGGGTGGGTGGTGGTGTTCACTTTTAATCCCAGCACTTGGGAGGGAAAGGCAGATGAGTTTGAGACCAGACTAGTCTACAGATCGAGTTTCGGGACAGCCAAGGTTGTTAATATGGTGAGACCCTGTCTCAAAACAACAACAACAACAACAACAACAGAAAAAAAAAAAACAAAAAAAGGGAAGAAAACAGAAAATTAAAAAAAAATACAGGAAGATAGGGAGAATGTTAACCACCAGTAATCCAAAGTGTAATGGCTAGTTTTATGCAAACTTCACACAAGTTAAAATTATCTGAGAGGAGGAACCTCAACCGAGGAAATGCCTACATGAGATCCAGCTGTAGGCAAAACTGTAGGGCATTTTCTTGATTGACAGAGATAGCCCAGCCCACTGTGGGCAATGCCATCCCTGGGCTGGGGCTTCTGAGTTCTATAAGAAAGCAGGCTGAGCACGTCATGGGGAGCAAGCTAGTAAACAGCTCCCCTCTATGGTCTCTACATTAGTTCCTCCTTCCAGGTTCCTGCCCTGTTTCAGGTCCTGTCCTGGTTTCCTTTGATGTATAGTGATACAAGTGTAAGTTCTTGTCTTCACTTCCTCCAAAAATGAAGAGCCATATGGAAGTGTAAGGCAAATAAATGGTTTCCTCTGCCAGCTTGCTTTTTGGTCATGGTGTTTCACCGAAGTAATAGAACCCTTAAGTAAGATTGACACAATGGTTCAGGAGACTCAGGATTTACATTATGAATACACACCGTCCTAGAAAAAAGACGACACCCTCTGCCATGGCTGAGATGTTAAGATGTGAGTGAGGCTCAGCACAAGAGCGGATGCTTGACAAGTACAAAAGCCAGACCCATGGCCAAGACATAAAGCAGAAATATCAGGCCTTTGCTAGGTAAACAATTATTCATATTTTATTTTATATTACTTAGGGATGGCGTCTGTAATGGTGGTGATGGCCTGGCTGCATGAGAAGGCTGCTCAATTCCAACCACCAGAAAACATAAAAGATGACATATTGTGGTGAATATATAAACACTCAAAGCCCATCCCCAGAGGATAATTTCCTCCAGAAAGGCTCCTCCTCCTAAAGGTTCCATAAGCACCCTGATGGAAGCTACAAACCAGAGACAAAGTCATCCTACATGGGAGGTTTTTAATTCAACTCACCATATTTTCACACATCATGATAGACTCATAGTCAATCCATGATGCAAAATGTAGTCTAACTTCAAAGATTCCCATGTTCTGTAACAGTCCCAATACAGTTTGAGTGTCCCAAGTTTCTTCTGACACTGAAAGCAATCTCTTGACTATGACATCTTATAAAATCAAAACACTAATTATAACTGCCCAACATGCAATAGCATAGAGTACATATTTCCTTTCCAAAGAAATAAGGAAATATTGGACCAAGGCAAGCCTGAACCCCTGTTGTGCAAACACCAAATCCTGCAGTTCTGTATCAGGCATCTGGGACTTCAGTACCTCTCTGCAGCTCCTCACACATTTTACTCTTTGGCTAATTCCACTCTGTACATGCAACTATTCATGTCAGGTGTCTCAAAATGCAAACAAAACTTTATCATCATGGATTCATACCATGAAAACTCATGGTCCAATTGGAACAGCTGCAGCAGATTCTGTATGAAGTTGGTTTCTGGGACTAGGAATCACCTTCCTTTTCCTTCCATAGTTAAAAGCTTAGTTGGGTGGGCAATGCCCTTACAACACCTTTTCTATATTTCCAAGGAAGGGCAGGTGTCTTCCCTTTAATGGCCCTAATTTCCCTAATAATTGTTACCTCTGTTTCAGCACATGACAGTCATCTGAAACTACCTAGTTCTCTGCCCTGCTTGTTGCTCTTTTTCACTATGCACCTGCATGAATCATCAATAATAACCATGCCAGAGACTGTTTTGTGAAGAAATCAGTACATTACTCTTTCATTCAACCTTGCTCAGTTTCATACAAGATGGGCAGAATACAGGCAGATAATATGCTAAAACATTACTCAAACAAAATGTCTCAGTGACTGTCCTGAAAATGTCATTTAAAAATGTCATTTTAAAGAAAAGGTTGGCCGGGTGTTGGTGGCATACACCTTTAATTCTAGCACTAGGGAGGCAGAGGCAGGTGGATCTCTGAGGTCCAGGCCCGGCTGGTCTCCCGAGGAAGTGCCAGGATATGCTCCAAAGCTACACAGAGAAAGCCTGTCTCGAAAAACCAAAAAGAAAAAAAAGAAAAATGGTTGTAACACTGCACATTTAAACTGGAGGATAGCAACCCTGTGCTTTGCTACCAACTTGGCTTGTGATCTCATCATGATGGAAGCAGCCATGTGACTTGGCTGTCATCTTTTCTAATGGTTTCAGTTAAAAAAGTTAAGTGCCATGTGACTTTTTTTTTCTCACAACTTTGATTTATTGGTTGAGGAGCAGAGTACACAGACATTTCAACTCTCAACACATGCACCCAATCTCTGAAGAGTCATACATTGTGTTCACGTACCCCAAGATCACATGTTGTTTCTCTTTGAACTTATTTCAGTGATGTTCCAGCCTCACACGTGGCTGTCTTAAGTTTTCCTTAAGACCTTACATAACACTCAAATGCTCACAATCCTCAATTCCCCTGCCTCACAATTTTATGCCACATACAGTACATACTCAAAATGCCCGTCTTTCACAGCATATTATCACAAGTGTTAGGAAAATGGACACCATGACCATCAGAAACAGTTCTGACAGGAGGAGGCAGAGGAGTGATTTTTTTTAGGAAACAGTTCAACTAGAAACATGAGACCAGATGTAACTGAAAATATTGCATACACAAATGCATGACCAAGACTCCAAACACTTAGTATGCTTTATGCTGTAGGATATAAAATTAGCCCTCTCTCCCCCCCCACGACAGTCCCAGTCGCTCCTGATTGAGCCTTCTATTTTCTGGTTGTACCAGAAAATAAACAACCAGCAAATGATTTAACCTCTTTAAAAAAAAAAATCATTTACACTTAAAAAAAAAATGGGATGAGATTTCCTCCCACCTCTTAAAAAAATTTCTAGAGCTACTAAAAAACATTTACAAAATAGTTGATAAAAATATTCCTCTGGATTGTACATGAAGGGAGGCATGAACCACTGACAGACATGATGGATGGTGAGTCAGACTTGGCTTCTTTCTCTTCTACCTCAGAGGCTGGACTCTGGTTCTCTGTCTCTCCGTTTTCTGCAGGCAGATCTGTAGTTTGCAGGTGAGCCGCTTCAGCCTGTCTGCCCTTTGCTCAGCTCTCCCTTTTGTTGGCACTGTTTTGTCTGGTGATTTGTTTGCACTTTTTCAGCTTCGCGTCCACGTTGGCAGGGCTGGGCTTGGCAGACATTCTCGCGGAAGGGCGCTTGGGCTCCG